GGTTTGATCCTCAGCACCACATAAAAACAAAATAAAGATATTGTGTCCACCTATAACAAAAAAAAATTTTAAAAGAATTAGAAATAAAAACGCATTTTGCAACACGCAATTTTATGCAATAATCATATCAATATAAAATCATAGTTTTAGGTATATATGTTTGTATTTAGCCATAAAAAAATTCAAGGGCCATTCCTGTCCTTTCCCCATTTCTAAGTCTTACCCTATTTTCTGAAACTAGGAAAGAAATGGGTGATGATCAGTAACGAGGCAGTAAAAGGATAAACAAACATATTCTGAAAGTCCTAAAAATTTAAGTGGTTTTAAAATTTCAATTCTGATAAAATGGCTCCAAAACAAAATATCTTGTACTCCACCCAAAAGCACTCCTTCTATTCTATGGCTTCACACAGGATGGTCATCTATCCTCTGGAGGTTCTCAATGACGGGGAACTCATTACCTTGCAATGACCCCCTTCCAGTATTAAGAAAATATTATCACAACTGCTAACATTTATGTGACTTATTGAGCCATTACTAGGTCTTAGGTACTGAGCTAAAAGCTTTATGAGCATTATTTCACTTATTCTGCACAATAAGTCTATGAGATAAGTATTGCTATTATCGCCAATTTATAGATAATGAAACCAAAGCTTAGAACATTTAAGTAACACAAAGTCAATAGTAGAAGAAGACATTTCCAGACCAAGACTCCGTCAACTGCCATCCCTCACTCTCCTTATCCCCCAGATAGCTCTAGTTTTGCTTTCTGAGGCTTCCTAGAGTAAGCCCCTCCTTTTTGAAGACAAATAATAATTATCATTTTCTCCTCTCTGGAAGCTTGGAGCATGGCAAGACACTGGGTTAGGATTTCATAGACTTTAAGCATTCACGGCCTCACCTCTGTGTGTTAACCCAGTCAAAACACTTAACATCTCCGAGTCCCATGTTTTTAAAATTTATTTTTAACTGACACACAAAATCACAGATTGATTTCATATATTTATTGTGTAATGTTCTCACAAGGGTAAACATATCTGTCTTCTCATTTACCATTTTGTGGTAAAAATATTTTAAATCCCTTCTTTTAGCTTTTTTTTTTGAAACATACAGTATACTATCATTGTCTATAGTCAACCTTAGAATATCAGAGTTTATTTCTCTTATTTAACGATAACTTAGTATCCATTGGCCAATCTTTTCACATCCTTCCTTTTCCCTATTTTCCTCAGACTCTGGAAACCAGTATTCTACTTTTAACTTTATTCATTCATTTATTTGTTCATTTATTTAGATCTAGAGCCTCACTCATGCCAGGAAATTTCCCTATTACTGAGTCACATCCCCAGCCCTTAACTTATTTTTTAAAGTATTTATTATTAATTTTTTTAAAAAGTTGATACTGGACATTGAACCCAGGAGCACTTTACTACTGAGCTTAATCCCCAGTCCTTTTATTTCATGTTTATTAAGAAACAGTATCTTACTAAGTTGCTGAGGCTAGTCTCAAACTTGTGATTCTTCTGTCTCAGCCACCCAAGTCACTGGGATTAGAAGGATGTGCCACCATATCTGGCTACACTTGACTTCTCAAGATCAATTTGTTGTTGTTTATTTTACTTGTTTGTTTGTTTATTTATTTTTGGTATCAGAGACTGAACTCAGACACTCAACCACTGAGCCTCATCTCTAGTCCTTATATTTATTTATTTTAAGTTTTGAGACAGGGTCTTGCTAAGTTGTTAAGACTAGCTTTGAACTTGTGATCTTCCTGCCTCAACTTCCCCAACCTCTGGGATTATAGGTGTGCACCATCACACCTGGCTAAAATCAACTTATTAAGATTTAACGTATGAGTGAAATCATTTGTCTTTATATCCCTGGCTTACTTTATTTAACATAATGACCTGCAGTTCTATCCCTGTAACAACAGCAGCTCACAGGCCTTCATCCATTTTTTTTTTGGCTGAATAGTATTCCATTGCGTATCTATTCCACATTTTCTTTTTCCCCTCATAAGTTGATGGACATTTAGGTAGTTTCCATTTTTTGACCATTGAAAAATAGTGCTGCAATAAACATGAGAGTACAGATGTCTCTTTGACCTTCTAACTTAATTTCCTTTGTGTATATAGTTGTTAGTGGGATTTTTGAGTCATGTAGGAGTTCCATTTTTAATGTTTTTGATAAACCTCCACACTTTCCCCCATAATGACTCTACGAATTCATGTTCTCACACACAGTGTGTAGAGGTAATCTCTTCTCCACTTGTTTCAGCAAAGCAGTACTTTCATCTTGACTTATATTGGGATCTTCGGAGAAAATAATAACTCACATCTTAGCTAAGATAGGCTTTTCATAATAACTAATACTACCTGCCTGGCAATTTTGATGAGGCCCAGAATTAATATGTCATAAAACCTTAAGGATAGACAATTCACATTGTATAAAGTCTATGAGCAATCATTGGATTTACACTACCAGAGAGCTCTAATAATAGGGTGTTGATAAAGTCAAAGATCAAGAATACCAGAAACCCTTACCAAAGAGCCTTATAAGGATTCCAAAGGACTGTAAAGAGTGATCTCTCTCTCTCTCTCTCTCTCTCTCTCTCTCTCTCTCCCTCCCTCCCTCTCTCCCTCTCTCTCTTCCTCACTCTATCTTAAAAAAAAATGAGTGATCACATGTTCTATAGAATGAAGGTAAGACATAAATATAGACATCTTTCTCAAAGTTCTGTTAGGGACCACCTAGAATTCTTGTGAAGAATATTCATACTTGGGCTCCACCCTCAGAATTTGATTAACTAGTTTTGGGGATTATCAGCCAGATGCAGACAAATTTATAGATCAGAGAAACAATGATAATTTCAGTAAGTTTATTGGAGATGCATTTCCTGTCTTCAGTGTGTACTTAGCAGGGCAAACAGCCACTGGTGGCCATGAGGAAGCCCAGAGAAAAGAAGGGGTGAGATTTGCCAAGAGCTGGAAGGGGACTGTGTCAGTATGTACTGCTCTTGCCAGCTGGGCTCTGGACAAGTGCTATGTCATATTGACCTTTTCCCTATAATGGGCAGTAAGCATCAAGTATAATCATGCAGTAACACAAGGTCAGAATTCATTTTCCTCCCTAAGATGGGACACATTACTCAGCCCTATCTAGTGCTTCAGCACCACGGACAGCGCAATGCGTGTGATTGGCTAAGAGCACATCAGCGAGGCATGGAGCTTCTGGGGGAGAGTGAGAAAGAATGGGAGCTGCCATGGTGATAGCCCTTGAGAGATCTGGGCCCAACTAGAGATCCTCCCACGTGACACAAACTGCTTTCATGCTGAGAGGCCTCATTATAGTATTTTTTTTAAAACTTGGTAGTGGTCTTAGAGGTGGTATATGATGATTTGGAGTGCATTAATATACCACCTTAGCTTTCTCTCTTATCCCCCTATGTACCACCCTTGTGTCTCCAGGAATCGGAGCTAGAAACCTCACTAGTCCATTGCACAAGAGATTGTTCTTTTCTATATCCTTCCCTACCCTCATAAAAGAATAAATTCTATTCCTTTTCAAGTTCTAGTTCCCTTATCTGTCAAATGGGCAAAATAAAGAGAAATCTGGAGCACTATTAAGGGAATGAGATGAACAATACATACAGTTTCTATCATAGGAATCACTGGGGTCATGTAGGAAAGTGGAGTTGCCTGGAACTATAGGACAGCTGTCCACCTCACTGCCAGTAATGGCTACTTTCAGGTTTCCTACTGGGGTCCAGAAGACTGAGGATTTCATGTGTCCTTATGTAGGACTGGCACTGCCATCTGGAGGGGGGCACATTCCTGTTCCATTCACCTGAGAACAGCTAAAGGCATCTATTTAGGCTGTTTAGTCTGCTGCAACTTCTTGCCATACCATGCCTCTGCTTCTAAAGTCTCTTTCTCTATGAACTGTTTTAAGAATACAAGTAACGCCACTTGTCATAGATTGAGCAATCACAAAGGTTTACATACTCGGCTAGACACTTAATATGCATTATGTCAATCATTAGTCTCAAAATAATCCCCATTTGATAGATGAGAAAAGTGAGATTCTTGGAAATCACTTGGCTCTCCTATGTTTCACTGTCAATAAACAATGGGACTGAGATGCAAACCCACCCATTCTCACTTCAGAGGATACACTGCTAACCAAGACATTACATCATGTAGGGGCTGGGCTGGGCAAGGCCTTCCACTGCTGCCCTCCATGCTTACACTCTGGAACTTGTAGGCTCCATGCTTATATCTAATTTTCTTTTGTATTAACTGTATTTTCTTATTTTCTATATTCTTGATACTTTGGTACCTGAGCTTTCCAAACCAGTGAGAGATAGCCCTCCTGAGGTTAACCACATCTTACAGATAACAAAAGACGTGCTCAGGAGTATGCCTTTCTTATCAGATTAACCAATACAGAGCCCTGACTCCATGCACCTTCCTTTTCTGTCTCATACACCCTGGAGATAATATTTCTCTTTCCTAAACACTGTTGGGTTCTGGTACAGGATACCCTGTTCTTAAACCCCATAGCCTACCAAATTTCAAACTAGCTAACCCTAAACCTATCTACCCTGTTGACCCTATCTTCTCACAATAATTACAATACACTCTCTTGCCCATTCTTCTCTCTTGCTTCCTTGACGCCCCCTGATATACTCTGGTATCTGGCTGAGGCCCTGCATCATGTACTGTATATCTGTACCTAGAATCTGTGAGTAGATAAACTTAGTGTTTCACAAGTTATTTCTGTATCTGTGTCTTCCCTTATTGGATTGAAACAAATCCCAGATACATTTAAAAACCTCTTTGCTTCCTATTCATTTTCTACCTTCGTTTTCTTCCAGGGTCCCTTTTTGTAAGAAATCTAGTAGAAGAATCCCATAGTACTGTTAATAATTCTGCTTTAATTCAGGCCACATCACATTCAGGTCACATGTGTTTACTGAATATCCATCATGGACCAGGCACTGTGATTGTCATTGGAGATAACATTCCTCCCAAATGAATCAGCTGCTACTCTCATGGAGATCCCAGTCTAGAGGCAGATACAGACAAGCCCATGGCAGTTACACAGTAGTACATTGGGGACAGAGGTCAGAATAGGGCATCATCAGGGGAAGGGGCATCATTTAATTCACCACATTTTGGTCCTTCCATGCCATCAAGATCATATGCAGATTTCTTAGGTGCCCCTTTGATTTTGCTATTTCCCAGCTGCATCTTATAAATATGGGAAAGAAATGGGAGTTGTAGTGTTCACAAAATCCTTATAAGTATTTTTGATATTATTTCCATCTTTTAGATGCAGAGACAGAGGCTAGGAGAAGGTAAATCACGAGCCTTCAGAAGTGGCAGACAATAGGAAAAAATATTGGAATTCACACTTGTATCATTAATAGCCTGTGCTCTTAAACATTTAACTATTTGACCATAACCTTGAGATAGGTAATCATTTAAGGGCCTCCACTTCTAACTGTATGCAAATAAATAGCTAAAATTTGAATATCCCTAAGGCCTAATATTGAACAGTTATTGAGTAGTGATTTATGAGGGACATTAGGTCGGGGACATGCCTACCATTATTGCTAAAATTTTCCTACTATTCCTTCAGACTTAGTTTTTGTCATTCCTGCTTACCCAGCCCCATTTCCCAGCCAGGCTCAGGTTCTTCCAGCCCCAAGATCTGCAAATCTACTTGCCTACTTGCTTCTGTAAATTTTGTTTCTTGTGCCTCCTCTGTCATCCCCCTGTTGTCTCTCATACACATTTACCTCTCACTGGGACACAAATGATTTCAGAGGGACCAACCAGAAGATTTGTACATTTGGGAATGGTGATGCATGCCTTTAATCCAGTGGCTCAGGAGGCTGAGGCAGAAGGATCACAAATTCAAAGCCAGCCTCAGCAACTTAGCAAGGCCTTAAGCAACTTAGCAAGGCCTTAAACAACTTAGCAAGACACTGTCTCAAAATAAAATATAAAACAGGGCTAGGGATTGTGGTTCAGTGGTTAAGTGTCCCTGGGTTCAATCCTTGTTCCAAAAAAAAAAAAGACGTATATATAGGTATGAAAATCAACTGAGTATAGATAAAATGAGAGATAATAAAGAGCTTATCTGTAGTCCAAGTGAGAAACAAGCAGAGGCTCATTCACTATGGTGAAGTGGGAACAGTCAGAGACTGCATTAATAGAAGTATGGGTATTTCTGAGAAAGGAGTAAAAGTTCCACTTTGCTCTGATCAGCTCAAATTAAAGGAAAGGAGTTAAGTTTGAATATAATAACTTAAAACAGGGATAAAATTGAGTTGCTTTGAGATAATGCTGACGAATAGAGGGAAAGGATCTCAAAAACATTCCTGGTATATCCAATGAGAAAGGTTTAAAAGCTTAACAAGCTAACAGAAGTCAGAGTGTTGGTTACCTCTGGAGAGCATTAATGGGTAGGGAGCATGGGGGCTGCTTCTGAGGTGCTAGAAGTCTTCTTTTGGTTTGAGCTGGGCCTTTGGCCTTTATGTTAAAGGTTCTTATACAAAAATAGGAGAGAGGAAACCTTCAGGGGTGATGGCTACGATCATGGCATTATTTATGGTGACGGTTTCACAGGTATACATTTATCTTCCAACTAATCAAGAAGTACACTTTCAAAAAGTGTGAAAGATTAAAAAAATAAAAATTCATTAGCCTGCATAGCTATGATGGCCTTCACAAGATTATTTCTACTAAACTTCAATACATTTCAAGATAGTCATGCCAAGTGAGGACAGAGGTTCAGGGAAACAGGCGCCAACCTCCCAAGCCCAAGGATGTAAACTGAAACGACTTTTCTGGAGGGCACTTTAGCAATAGATATCAAACACCTTAATCAGTTTCTTGGACCATGCTTTGCTAATGACTGCAGTGACTACAGTGTCTCATTAATTCAATTTAATTGGGCGAAGAATAAATGGTAGAATGTAAGATACTTGTAAAGTCCGTTAACAGGGAATGAGATATGAATATTCTCCTGAACATTCAGGAAGTTCCAGTAAAACTCAAACCATCTTCCCTGTCATATGCATTTAATTAGCAAATACCCTTTGGGGGGTGTTTTAAAATTGGAATAGGATCCACAAAAATAATAAGAAGTGGTAGGTTCTCTGAAGTAGCTCCATCCTCCCGCATTCACATTTGAATTCTTCCTATAGTTAACAAACCTTATCGCTGCATGTAGAATGAAAGACATCTTTCATTTACTTCTGATAATCCAGGACATTAAATGATAAGGGACTCTTCCAAAGCCTTTGGATGCTTCATTTTTCCTGTACTGCCTAACATTCTGAGGTTGGGCCATGCGTAGAGACATCTGACCAGCCAAAGAAGCAAGGTGCCAGGTAACAGTGGGGTACCTGTGAAGCAGGGCTCTTACCATCTGCAATGAAGTGCTCAGGTACATGCAGAGTCACCTTCACAGTGAGTGGACAGGACATCTGGCTGCCACACACCATAGCCAGGATGCAGGAGCTCACCGCAATCAGTGTCAGGGCTGTCTTGTTCATTGGACTCTTCAGTAAACCTGGCAACACAAACACACATAATTCCATGAGGTGAGGAAATGGGGACAACATGGCGTTTGGGAATCCTATTATTTACAGAATGGGAATCTGAAAGAAAGAAGGAGAGGAAAAACCCTCATCTTTTCCTTTGCATATCCTTATTTGGTCTTGGTTTAATTCCCTTGCCAAATGGGTTGAGGATTTCTTTGAGGGAACAATACAAGAAACAAGCTCTCTGAAAACTGTTGCTAGTCTCACTCATCCCTCTCCAATTTGGTTGGCCATTCTTTTTTTTTTTTTTTTTTTTTGTGGTGCCAGGGATAGAACCCAGGGCCTCAGACATGCTAGACACATGCTTTGCCTCTAAGCTACATTCCCAGCCCTTTTAAAAATATTTTATTTAGAGACAGGGTCTTGCTGAATTGCTCAGGGCCTCCCTAAGCTACTGAGGCTGGCTTTGAACTTGTGAACCTCCTGCATTAGCCTCAGCCTCAGCCTCCCCAGCAGCTAGGATTACAGACATGCACCACCAAGCCTGGCAGCCATTTCTTTTTAAGATTAATTTATTTAAATATAACAATAATAAACCCATTGAACACTAATATAAAGATCATGTTTTCTAAATCAAAACTGAAAAGCACAGCATCATCTTACATTTTTTATATATATTTATATATATATATCTTAATATCACCCACTTCCCCGTAGCCATTCTTGATAATCATGAGGTGATACCAAACTCTCCACTCTCTGTAGAAACAAATGGGATGGCATTGTGTGGCTGAATTTAGCAGGGCCAATGGGATGAGTGTATGCCTTGGTGTTGGAAAATCCTAGGTTTACAGTTAGGCTTTAGTCCTCTCAGGCTGTGTGATCTGCTTCACTTTCCAAACCTCAGGTAGATGAGGCAGCTCACAGGATTCCAGAGATGACCACCTGACATAATGTGCTTAATGTCTGTCCTCTGGAAGGGTCTCACAGATAGCCATTCAATAGCATTTTCTGAGAACCTACTTTGTGAGATGCATATAGAGCAAAATAAGAATAGCCCCTGTTCTTCAGGAATTTATAGGTTAGAGAAAAAGCAAGCATATGCACAGCTAATTGGCTTCCAAGAAAAATTGTGTAAGACCTAGACAAGAGGGTTGAGTGTGGGGAGGTGAATTTTACATGGGAAAATTAAAGACAACTTAATGGATGCAGTGGAATGAGTCGATTGTCTTTGCATGGCTAGGAGTGCGTTGGGCCAGCAAAAAGATCTGAGTCCCAGTTTGTTTCTCAAGTTTTGGGCTTTGCTCTTGACATATGTTTTCAAGGGTTTGATTACCAACTTTAGAACAATACCTCCAAAATTTCTGTTACCTGCTGAGATTTTCTTTTGAGTAAACTTCTCTCCCTGAACCTCCTGACTCTCTGTGGACATCACACAAACATGTCAAATTTAATCCACTCAACACAGGGCTCGTTATCTTCTCATTAAAGCCCCCTCCTCTTCCTGAGCTCCTCAATGTACTGACAGCATCTCAGAAGGTCATACATGTAGATGTCATCATTCAGACTTCTGTTTTCCTCCTTTATAGAAATGAAAGTCACACAGCCCTATTTAGTCCATGTCGTTGGCATTTTTACATCCTGTCCCCTTCTCTCCTAGTGTCTGTGTGCTTGCAGGATGAGGGAGGTGTGGGCATATCTGTCCACTGCACTCCTGCTGAAACCCCTTGAGCTGTTTTACAGTGTCTGGTCACAGGAAATGATCTGTGCTCATTAGCCTGGCATCTGCAGCCTTTCATGATGACTCCTACGTTCATACCTCCTCTGCAGTCTCCTGCCTGGCCGAGGTGTCGGCAGGGCTGGATTGGTGCAATGCCCTCACAGTCCGCCTCTCCATCAGATTAATACTGGTGTAGGTCTTGATTTTTTGGATAGAGCTCTGCTCATTTCCTTGTCTCCCTCCCTAACACTATTTGAGGTTCATCATAAATGTAAATCCTTCATTGATTGTGTCTCCCTGAATATCTTATTCCAAACTCTAGAATCTAGTGTATAGACTGTGAGAAAAAGCACCATGTCCTTTGCTTGTCATTTTGTCCCAGTGCCTCACCCAGTGTCTGGCACGTGGTAGAATCTCACTAAATGCATGATCACTTCCAGGAATGTTAGTGACAGCATGACGCAGACCAAAAGAAATGCCAAACTAACATGGCCATGCTAATGGGTTCCAATGGAAGAAGAGCCTCATAACAGCGCACACGAAGATTGCTTTATGGATGTTATTTTTCTGAATAAACAGTGAGCAGCTTGAGGAAAGAGATTGTATCTTCTCTGTCTTTGGTCTCTCATGCACAGCTTGCTGCCTGGAACCTAGAAGTTGCTTAGTTTAAGAATAAGATCCTTGTCTTTATTCCCAGTCCTGAGATAACGTACAGTATTGTAGGAACTATTCACACATTTGCAGTTGTTACAGTTATACAATAAATGCTAACTGGAAGAATTAGTTAAATAATAAGATGGTTCTAGTGTCAGAAGATGGGAAATCCCTAAAACCTAAAATGACCACAGGGAAAAAAAAGCAACAAGTTTTATCTTTTATTTGAGCACCATAAGAAGCTGTTTCAAACCCAAATAATAAAAACAGTTTAGTAATATAAACAAGCTAACATCGATATTTTCTACTAGAAAGAAGGCAGACTAGCTTCAGTTGGTGTCCTGCATAGATCTCATCTTAAAATGTCAGCATATTATTACTCCAAGACTGATTACGTAACAAATCTCTCTGAAACAATTGATACCAGTTTCTACTTGAGATTCTGTGGACCCTCCTCTGGGGGAAGGAATATCTGAGGAAAAGTCCTGCAAGGACAGATTCTTGGTTGTAATTCTTGGTGTGATAGGGAGTAGGAGATTCTTGGCACTGGGGAATGAATGCCCTGGCCAGCCAGGCATTGAAAAGCACCCTATGCACCCCCCAAGAAAGCATTTCTCATCCTTGGACCCTATAGCCACAGAAACGTATATGGCCACGACATTCCTTTTACTAATTACCCAACTATTAGAAATACCACCTAGGCTCCATGGGCTGACTCCTGGGAGGACGGCTGAGGAGTAGGAGTGGGATTGCTCCTACTCCCTTGCTGGGCCCTGGCTGAAGCAACGGTATCACCTAGGTCACTTAATTATACTTCCTAATTATCATATTAGAAACTGAATTATTCTTTACAAGATCAGAAAACAAAAGGAGAAGATGATGAAGGAGGGAAACGTGAAGAGGGAGAAAGTGAGAAGGAGAATAAGAACGGACAGCATCCTGGGGCAGTCGCTTACTCAGAGAAGGTCTGAATCACCACAGTTTTCTCTGAAGTCCAGGAGGAAGAAAGCCACACTGGCCAAGCTTGCTCTAAGGCCAGCTGCCCATGGAGCAGTCGCTGGGGTTTGGGGAGTTGCCATGGCAACTGGAAACTTCACAGTGGGACTCAAACAAAGGTGACTTCTTAAGAGTTGCTGGTCCATGGAACTGAACATAAGCACTTAGCTCCAGTGAGTTAGAGGGTAGCAAGCTAGAAAATATATATATCCCATAATGCCTACCCCATCCCCATGCCAACAATGCAAAGCACTCACATTGCAAGAAGTAGGAAAAGGAACCACCATTTGGGGATTGCTCACTACGATCCATCCATCACTTCCCATCAATCTTTTAGAAATATTTTTTAGTTGTCAGTGGACCTTTATTTATTTATATGCAGTGCTAAGAATCAAACCCAGTGCCTCTCACATGCCAGGCAAGTGCTCTACCACTGAGCCACAACCCCAGCCCCCAGCCCATTAATTTTTATTGAACATCATCTCTTCCTGGGCACTACTCTAGGCATGAGAGAAATGATAATGAACACAACAGCCAGTGTTTTTGAAGCTTACATGGGGGGGGGGAGGTAGGCATCAACTCATTTCATTCTCAGGGCAAATTGTTGCCACTATCTGCATTTTACAGAGAAGTACAGGGAAATGAAATGACTTAGCTAAGGTCACTCAATTTGTGTGTGTCAGAGACTGCATTAGAACCAGTCCTGTTCTATCCTTTCCCTGTATCACACTACTGCCCCCTTTATCACAGGACAAGGGTTCCAGGATGAAATCTGTGTGACACTCATTAACTGATCCAACTCTTGTAAGTCAAAATGTCTCCATGAGTAAACGGAAAAAGCAATCTTCATTCAGAACTAATGTGAGGCTGGAAAAGATCACAGATGTAATTAGTTTGAAAAAAAAAAAAACAGTAAATAAAAGTTCCAGGCACAACATGGGTCTCCTCAGATGGCCATGGTCATAGTTCCCTTTGGTTCACATCCCTGTCCACAGTCACCTCCCTGTCACTTGCAGGGAACGAGCTACGCTGTAGGAGTATACAATCCTACAGGGGATATTGATTGTTGAGGCTGGAGAAAGCTAATAATCTAATTTTCCTTTCATTTCCCCTCTCATACCCTTCAACTCCTCTCATGGTAGGAGAGGATGGCATAAAATGCATGGCTTGAGAAATTCGACTGGAAATAACTTGGCATTGTTGGTCCACACACTGCCTATAATTTGGGGTTTGATTGATTCTTGGTTTGGAAATGCCAGGTTGAGAGAAGAAAATCAAATTTAAGTTAAATTTGAAATTGAATCAATCACTTCTTACAATGAAGAAAATAGATCTAACCCCATCAGACCATTGTGCGTGGAAAACTTAAAGCTGCTACACTCCCATTGATTCCTTCCTCCTGATATCCCCAAGGGCTGAAAGACTAGGTCCGATGTTGAGAAGCAATTATTTTATTTAAATGGCATAAGGCACTTCGGTGAAGGGTGTGGATTCTAGGCACTCAGGATAGTGGAAGACACAGGAGGTAGAAAGATCACTTAAAAGAGTCTCAACTTTGCTTCTAGACATGGGAATTTCAATGCAAACCTGTCCCTTTAATAGCTATCTAACTTTCGGCAGCCTACTGTTTTTAAATCTCTGAATCTCAGTTTTTAAATC